CTTAATACGAACAAAGTGATACATTTATACGTTTTATAAAATGTCTTTATTATAAGTGAATTGAAGATAGAGCACTATGTTTCAATATAGTGAAATTGGTAAATAAATATAGAATTTTATTTATTACATTGATATTAAACGTACGTATACCCAAATGTCATTTGATACAATTGACTTTGTTCGTATTAAGCTGTATAATTGAGATAGACATTTATTTTGTCAGACGACGTAGGCTTGTTCTTTTATACTTAATGTACTCAACATTTCAAATACTTGTCAAAACTTGTTATTCAACAATATAGAATATTCTATGGAGATTTTTCAACTGTAAATATGCTGTTGACATTACGTGACAAAAATTGTTAAGCCCAATTGACGAGCACAATAATCTATTCATCACATGACTACTTACATAGACAAGCACCTTTTGAAATAATTTTAAACTGCTCAACTACAAAGAATGTACAGGTAAAAACAAGTAACGCTTTTAATGGATTGGCAAAATAACACAATTGACAATCTTCCATTTATTTCTGACACCATTTTTCCGGCGAACCTAGACAATTCTTTTATACTAAGAGTTACTGTTTGGAAAAGAACCCAATCACATAAATATTGTTTGCTATTTTCTAAGAGAAGTTATTACTATTTTGCTTCATTCACCGATCATTAACGATTAGCGTGATTTATGCATGCCCTATTCATTATTTTTTATCATGATGATTTATGGATTAGTTGCTACGCATATAACGTTTAATAAAATAACATACGATGTGTTAAGAAAAAACTAATGGGAATACTTCGATGAATGATTTCTTTACTAATTGTGTATTAAAAATTTGACCACCTTTCAACGTCAGTTATTACTATCATCAACTATTAAAACCAGTTATAAAATTTTTTCCAAAATCCTCTTTAAATGATCTAATCCACGAAATTTCTATAAATCTCAATTGATTATATTGCTTAATCACTAAGGCTTAATTAGAATTCATCAATGTTGGTTCAGTTGACCTTTCCTATAGAAATGATGTCGTTGTACTAGTGAACTTGTAGTACTACATTCGCCTATCGTAACTATATGACAAAACACTGAAACATTCTGAACCAGTTTTGCATGTACTATTGTTAGACAGATGAATGTTCATTAGATGACATTTCCTATACGAAATCGTTTACTTAAACCGTATATTTGATAAAGCTTAAAAAGCGTTTACGAATACGTGGACGATAATCACATAATGACTATTAATCTTAAATGAATATTGATGGTTTCATCACTTAACCTTTGGTATGGAAATAAGAAATTGAAACAAAAGAATTTAAATCAAATTGTGGGTGGCCCTGAAAAGGGCCTTTACTCGTTCTCTTAACAATTCCGAATTTCATGAACGAAAGACTTGCTATGACTCCGTTATAGCGCCGCACATGGGACAGTGGATTCCATGGACGTGTGGTGATGGGTCGTAGGCACAAAATAAATGAAGCATTGCTTCGCATGGACAAAAAATCCAGGCAATTCCATCAACAGTTTCATGTGGCGGTTGCGCAAGATTGCAAATATCACAAAGTCTGTTGTCATATGCGTTTTCTTCATTGTCGTCATCTCGTTCAGTGAACTCCTCTGAGTTCGTCGAAACGATTTCTCCCTCGTCACTGCTTAACGTTGCATCCATATTGAGGTTATTTTGATAGTTGATAACTTACAAAATATGAAGGAAAGACATTGAGTGTTCACGGTAGTCCTTAATGAAAAATTATAATAACACTAATCAAATTACCTCGTTCGTCTACTCGGCTGTGAGGAACCGCTAGGTGTTCTACGGCCATTTCTCCAACATACGAACTTAATATACGGCTTCCGATCTCTATGGAAATGAGAATACCTCACCACATAATGGCAGTACGTGGCTCTTTCATACGTTCTAATGACGTTCTTCAACGCTTCAAAAGATTGGAACGCTACGAGATACAATGTGCTCAAGAACGAACAGGTTATCGGTTTCTGTGACAACGTGAGGAACGATGGAGCTTATACTTCGCAAGTTACTACCGTCCATAATTGTATGAAAATGTGATCTGTCTTCATGTCCTGATGTTTTATATCGATTTGAAGAAATGAACGACCAATTATAACGAACTCAAAACTAGCTGTTTGATTGGACGACACAGCATGGAAGTTATTGGAAGATGGGGATGAAAATTTTTTTCAAAAGGGACGGAAAAAAATTGCACTCGAAAAAAAAATGCAAAAATGGCCGTGCACTAGATGTTTTCCAAAGTATTTGAGGAATACATTTTAGAAATTCGATAATTCAGACGAACGATAAGCGACAAAGAGAAATGCGTGTGAAGTGGAACGGCAGATATGGCCAACTGAGTGAGTAATAGGTAGCCCAGTGTTTATAAGTGTGAAAGAGGTATAAGTAAGTATCCAGACACATACGCGCTAGCATATATACATTCATAAAGCCTTCTCAAGGCTATGTGTGAGTAAATCGCAGTGTGAAATATGAAGCTGATAGGACAGATAAAAAAATGAGGATAATCTTTCTGTGCAAGGGTTAGAACATATCACGTAGGTGTATGTTAACAGAGATTTACAACTGTCTGTTTCAGCACTTCAGCAGATATAGTGAGACACCGGACAGAGTCAGTTTTTCACTATACAACCTTACACAGCTTAGTATATTAAAGTTATGTTCGAACATTATTACCGCTCAAATCTCCTTAAGATATGCAAGTGAATTGATTGTAAATTTTAAAACCAGTTAATCTTGATAATGCCATGAGAGTTCTAGTCTAGGTGTATTTGAAGCTACAGTGCATGTGATAGAATCAGAACGTTTCGGTTTTAGAGCACATCACATACGATACTCTGAAGACAATTTACTTGAAAGAAGATTATGATCGGAAGAAAGATTGAATTTGTGAAAATGTGTAGACGAGACAGTCTCAAATAAATTGAACATTGAGTAGGGAATTAGTAATAAATATATTTTTCGTTATATCCTAATGAGCAGAAACATCAGAAATACAATTTGTCTACTAAAAGTACTGATATATAATCTTGAAATAACTTAAACGACTATCTTCAGAAAGAGAAACCTCGTATTGTATGTACCGGGTTATGTCTGAAATCCTGCAAAATAGTTTATTTAGTGAAGTTCTTGATCGATACGTATTAAACTAATAAATTCACAATATGGTTACCTCGTACATAAAGATTTAAAATAATAAGCATATTAACCAACTGTTGAGTCGGCTTTCGGAGAACTTCAGCGGAGCCTCTAGAGGTACAGAAGGAGCCGACGAGTCCTAGTCGATCAGAGCATAATAGAGCATTCTAGAATTCCAATGTAGCGTGCTACCATTGGTCAGTAGCATAATATGTCGTTAACGGATTGGCCGAAATATGATGTTGATTTAACAAACGTTTACATCTATAAATACCCATGTTTTCTGTACAAGAACGAAACTTGGAGTAAAGTGTTTCTCTCATACTTTGCGTATTCTTTCTGGTGTTCAGGTCTCTGTATAGTTCTAGCGTGCGGATTATCTGAATAGCTTAGGAACGAATATAGAGTCCAAATCAGCAAGACTTAACACCAACTAAATAATGTAATCTTGAATAATGACCAAATTTAAGAGAGTTACGGTAAATCATTGCAAGATATTAGTTAATAACCTAAAATTTCGAATAAATTTTAATCTCATTACAAGTACAAATAGTAAATTTTACAAGATAAACTTCATGTTATGTGATACATTTGTTTTATATTATAAAGAAAAGCAAAAGAAGCAGTAGTAAATCATTATTTCAATTCAAAAATTTACATCCTTTAAAGATAAACAACCGCGGGAATCTTGTATTACGTCTGCGGTTTAATTTTTTATTTGTTTCTTTTCTACTTATCCTAAACTAGTACTTCGTTTGTTTTCAGTGTTATAGTGATACATGTTTAATTGAAGATTTTGATTCTGTGAATATCATCTCTAATTTATGCCTTAGGTATATGTATATTCGATTAAATGCCATCTTCTACAACCATTCCAAAATCTTGACTCAGAAACTAAGAAGAGCCGTACAAAAATCATTTAATGCTGCCAGATTAAATGCCATCCTTTACAACCATCCCAAAATAAGAACAGCCAATAAAGACAGACTCTCTGATGATGAATTGTAAATTAAGACGTGAATTTATTACCTAATGAGAGTTAGATGGTGGTTGGAGGTAGTCAACAGGAAACCCTGGACCCGGGTTTCGTGCTATTTGGCACTCGTCAGCAAGGTGTACCTGTAATCTTGAGGGAACTGGTGCTCCCTGGCGGCTTCGATCTCGTGTCACCCAGCTTCACAGTCAGAGACGTTACCACTGAGCTATCTGAGCCGTGACTGACCTCCTGTAGGACTGAGATGTAATCACAATTGATTGATCACTGGGTAGTGATCAATGTCATGCTTGTCTAGTCCTTATTAGTACAGGAGGTTAGTCACGGCTCGGATAGCTCAGTGGTAGCGTCTCTGACTGTGAAGCTGAGTGACACGAGATCGAATCCGCCAGGGAGCACCAGTTCCCCCAAGATTACAGGTACACCTTGATGACGAGTGCCAAATAGTACGAAACCTGGGTCCAGGGTTTCCTGTTGACTACCTCAAACCACCATCTAAATCTCAATATATAGTGCCCGCAGTGTCGAGTCACCTAGACTGGTGGCCACATTGCAACATGATCGATAGCATTCGATCTGCACTAATAAGGACTAGACAAGCAAGACATTGATCACCACCCAGTGATCAATCAATTGTGATGACCTAATGAGAGTATTACATTCAATTAGTAAACTTAATAGATTTAAAATGAATGATTTACGATTAGCAGTTAGTGATAGTAGTGTATTATTATTTCTTTTTAATGAAATAATTTCTCAATACAAGAAATTAAAACAAAAATTCATTTTAAAATTTTATTTCTCAATTCATAGATTTTAAGTTAGACTTAAAAATAGGTGAGGCAAATTATATTAAGGCAAGTATAAAGTAAACAAAAATTGATTAATAAACAATTAAAATGTATTAAGTTGAGATGAATTACACTAGATGATGATGATGATGATGATGATGATGATGATGATGATGATGATGATGATGATGATGATGATGATGATGATGATGATGATGATGATGATGATGATGATGATGATGATGATGATGATGATGATGATGATGATGATGATGATGATGATGATGATGATGATGATGATGATGATGATGATGATGATGATGATGATGATGATGATGATGATGATGATGATGATGATGATGATGATGATGATGATGATGATGATGATGATGATGATGATGATGATGATGATGATGATGATGATGATGATGATGATGATGATGATGATGATGATGATGATGATGATGATGATGATGATGATGATGATGATGATGATGATGATGATGATGATGATGATGATGATGATGATGATGATGATGATGATGATGATGATGATGATGATGATGATGATGATGATGATGATGATGATGATGATGATGATGATGATGATGATGATGATGATGATGATGATGATGATGATGATGATGATGATGATGATGATGATGATGATGATGATGATGATGATGATGATGATGATGATGATGATGATGATGATGATGATGATGATGATGATGATGATGATGATGATGATGATGATGATGATGATGATGATGATGATGATGATGATGATGATGATGATGATGATGATGATGATGATGATGATGATGATGATGATGATGATGATGATGATGATGATGATGATGATGATGATGATGATGATGATGATGATGATGATGATGATGATGATGATGATGATGATGATGATGATGATGATGATGATGATGATGATGATGATGATGATGATGATGATGATGATGATGATGATGATGATGATGATGATGATGATGATGATGATGATGATGATGATGATGATGATGATGATGATGATGATGATGATGATGATGATGATGATGATGATGATGATGATGATGATGATGATGATGATGATGATGATGATGATGATGATGATGATGATGATGATGATGATGATGATGATGATGATGATGATGATGATGATGATGATGATGATGATGATGATGATGATGATGATGATGATGATGATGATGATGATGATGATGATGATGATGATGATGATGATGATGATGATGATGATGATGATGATGATGATGATGATGATGATGATGATGATGATGATGATGATGATGATGATGATGATGATGATGATGATGATGATGATGATGATGATGATGATGATGATGATGATGATGATGATGATGATGATGATGATGATGATGATGATGATGATGATGATGATGATGATGATGATGATGATGATGATGATGATGATGATGATGATGATGATGATGATGATGATGATGATGATGATGATGATGATGATGATGATGATGATGATGATGATGTTAAGATGTAACTTAGATAATATTGGTTTATCTTTAGGGTTTAAAGAAGTTTGTCGTTAAATTAATTAAACTAATGTTTGATGATCGGTAAAATATTCTGAATATAAAATTATTGATTATTGATTTATTTATAATTCAATAAAAAAAATTTATGCTTCATTATGAAATTGATGTTCTGATTAGATTATTATGTTTTCATGGATATATGTGAAATTAAATTGTTTCCAGAACCAATTTATCTTATAATTTGCATAACAAAATTTATTTACTGGTAGTCATTAAAATAATGTTTAAATGAATTATCCAGTATGTACAGTAATCTAATAGTCGGTGATTGTAAACTAACATAAGCTTTTAATTACTTTATAGAACTTTATTCAACTGTGGATTCAATATGGCAATATCATTTAATCACTGAATACAATGAAACTTTACCGGTTCCTATAAAGTAACCTAGTAAAACAATCGACTCATTTAGTTATTTGACCTTTATACTAACGAACGAGAGTAAATGACATTGTATAACATGTTACAAACGAAAAGAAAACGATATAACACCATGAATTTTAAATGGAATGTTTTCTGATTGAGAATATTAAAAATATCAGTTATAAGTGATACAATGACAATGTACTTTATTTAATGAGTAAGTTCCATTACGTTCAAAGACACTGATTATTATTTGTTGCTCAAACCTTAATTGAGGCTAAAAAAACATCCAAAGTTTTTACATAGACAACTTACTGTTAATAATTAGTTAAGTATCTAAACAAACACTGAGAGATGAGAGACATTTGCGTGTATGGTCGTACCGTAATGTAGAAGAAAAACGTGATATAACGCAATTAAGTTTTATATAAATGAGTTCATGCAACTGTCCATCAACTTACGTAATAGTATGAAAATTAATTAGATGCATAACTTTCAAAATTTAATTTAAATATAGTTATACCATTGTTGACTAAGTAAATGAGCATGAAAAATTGCAAAATTTTAAAAATGCACTGTTGCCATTATGAATTTCTATTTATAAACATACCAATTAAGTGACTGGTATTTTGAAACCACACAATTAAGTACACATTTGTGTACTACACTTTCTACATCATGCTATTTCATAAGTGTTTAGAATAAATCCAAATGGTGTTGAGTGTGTACAATGTGCTGTATCGTTGCAAATCGAATAACGTCTCTATAGTAAACTCTCACGGAAGTCAGTAAATATCTCAGATAATAAACCATTTAGGGACAAATATATGTAACACCAAATAAACTCATTTCACAACTACCGAACTTCGTAGTACGTTTGGCAGTGAACATTAATAAATCCATTTCGATACCTAAGTAACACAACACAAAATTCAATCACAAGCTATACTAAAAATTATCAATAAAAGTTTTAACTACACGTAAGTTCTTTTCATAAATAAAAAACTATGTATATAAATATACATCCATGTATGAAAAAAAAACTTGAAGGTAGTCACCGCCCAAATGATCAATTAAAACAACCATGTAATAAAGTGATGTATTAAGCTTTGGAAAGCGAAATGAATTAATTTGCAATATTAGATTGAATCAAAACAGTATTTGGATACTTTACTTGATTGAATCAGTGATTAATTTCTTTTCATTTTACATTTTAAAATATTAGTATTAACGTCAATAGATGTTTTTAATGTTCGACAGTGAAGAAGAAAAACTTGGTCTATGAAATCATGATCACAAACGTCTTATTAGATAGAGAGTAGAATAAATTCCTAAGCAATATTAAGTAGAATTTATAGTTTATTCATATATATAAAAAGTTAGCTGTTAATTATCTTATACGATATATTATAGTAATTTTAATGGTTGAGATCAGGAGTCATTTGAATGTAGACCATCACAGAAAACCTCGAAACACTGGATGGCCGTTTTGTCCTATTGTGGGACACCTCGGCAGTGATCTCAACCATTAAAATCATTATAACATCCGCAAAACCCCTTCTGATACTAATCAATATATGCTTACCAGTGACTGGCTTCAAAAGGTATTTTCTGGAGTTCTAGTGAGAAGCAATGACCAGTGGAGTTTAACTGGGTCTGTTATGAGTTAATGACTCACTGAAGACAATGGTGAATAAGTCGCTTAATTTCGTGAACTACTTGAAGTTAGACATTAACGCCGTTAGATGATGTCTCTGTGTTCTAGAGGTTAAATGTTCGCGTGCGAGACTGATACGTTCTGGGTTCGAATCTCGTGAGGCTAGATCGTGGATATGAACTTCTGAGGGGTCCTATAATAGGGTGAAACGGCCGTCCAGTGCTCTCAGGTTTTCCATGGTTGTCTAGCTTCAATCGATTCATGACCTTAACCATTAAATTTATATGACAGTTCTCTAACTATTGCATCTATTATTTTCACCGTAGATCATTGATTATTTATTTTGTGATGTAAGAGTGTGATGATATTGTGGAAGTTCGAATTTATTTATTGTAATAAGCGATAGTAAATCCGAAGATAAATAGTAACTAAAACTAAAAGTTATTTTTTAGTTTGACAGCTTTCTTAAGCTTTAATTTTAACTCATTAAATTGTTGAATGTATGTATACTATCTTTCTAAATGTAAATTTAAAGAGAAATATTTACAAACATTAACCCCTGAAATAAGTGCATTACTTATAGAACTTTTATGACGTTCATGGAGTTTTGTTCTCTGAGCTGGATGGTTTGGTTGTAGAGCTTTCATCGTCCTAATTTTATGACCGGGAAACTTTTCAAACAGTGAATATAACAAGTTCGCCATTTCAGTAAAGTTATTTATTTTCACAGTTTAAAAAATCTCTTATTTTTATAAAAAAATAAGCTCAGACATATTTTTTTTTGGATTACTATTATTCATAAATTTTTTAATAACTATTGCATTAAGCACTTCCACTATATACTATACAACCATTAGATAAGTGATTGATTTAATGATAACAGCTAGTTCATAACTTTATTTTGAGAATATTTTTATTTTTAATTAATGATTCAGCAAAAAAATATGAAACGTAATGCAACTGGAATGTGAAAACCATAGTTTTAACTTCTAATTAGTGAAGTTTATGTTGTAGTCAATAGGGGTTAGCTTCTGAAAACATTTTATTACAGAAATTAGAGACGATTGGTATGACACAAGTCTTTGTAGAATGTATGTTCTTAGTAGCTTCTTTATAAGTGAATTTTTAGTACTTTTAAAGTGTTAAAATACTCTAAATTGTAAATTAGAACAACATTGTTTACAATTAGATCTTCCTTAGGCTTCATGTTAGTATACATATATATTTATTTAAGTATATGGCAATAATAGAAAACTCAGAATAATTCATACATCAGTGATTACAGTGTAAAAGATTACATAACAACACATAATAGGTAGAAATGTACAATTTGATAGGAAGAAGACTATATGACCACGGAAAGAACAGGATTCTCTCGAATTTCTTCTGAACTCATAAACTAGGGTTGAAAGTTTAGGTCCCTATAGTTTCTGCTATATATTGCAGACAAGATCAGACCTCACTGAGAAATGACGAAGGTATACGACCGGTCACTTGAAATGATTTTAATTATCAAAGATTCACTATCAACCAGGTGTGCCAATATAGGTTTGAGAATAGTCTTTGTTTAGCCCTTTTCATACTAAGCTTGGAGATATTCAATCATTCATTGATTAAAATGATTGGTAGTATATCTAATATTGCTACTCCTACGGAGATAGCTATATTGAGTGTAATACCGGCAAACTTAACCAACAAATGAATGAACTAAATGATACATTGATAGAAGTTTTATTTGATTGTAGGCATAGATGAAGTGTACTATTTAAACTTGGATTAATCTTAATTTGGTTATTTATTTTTTGAGGAAGTGACTTAAACTAGGTCACGAAACGTCAGAAAATCTAATTTTCTACTCATTAGGATATTACAAATACATTATTTTTATTTATGAAAAAACTTAAGTTTATTTGAAGTACTTTATTCATTCACATTCATAAGGTACAAATAAAAATAATCGTAAAAGTTTTCACATAAATATTACTTATTTCTGCGTAATAAAACATGTTGTTTTTTTATATACATTAAGAGACTCAACAAAAGTAATATAATATCCGGCAATATGTGTTACACAGTAAAGGTACTCTGTCAAAATAAACATTTAATAAATATATAAATTTATTTTGACCTGATGAGAAATAATTGAAAAGAATATTCTTCGTTCATATAATTGTGTTTTAAAAATAAGATAAACAATGGTAGTGTATCGGCTGATGTACATATGTAGAAGGACAATCTGTTTTTCCTCTTGAAAAGAAATCCAACTTGCATATATATATATATATATATATATATATATATATATATATATATATAGTATTCTATGCAATAGCTTTTTCTTTAAAAATTATATTCAAAATGATAGATGTAATAATAGGTAACACACATATTATGAAAATAGTTAGCTGAAAGTCATAAAACAACGACTGAAAGAAGTGATCATAAAAAAAAAATGAAAAGTGTTACCACAACACTTGTATATGAAGCGGTTTAAATTGATCATATCAAAACAGAGTACATTGTTATAGTAAGTTAGATAAAATAGGATAGAAATTGTTTTTCTTATTTGTGTACATTTTTTTGTGTAATTATGAAATATATTGTATATATGGAAGTTAAAACTAAAACTAAAACTTCAGGAATACAGACAATACTGAGTAATGTGAATAATAGGAAAATTATAAAAGTTGAGAAATTAAGATAAACATTCATTAAATTGATATAAGATAATTTAATATGGTTTTATTTTCACTTATATTTTATACAAAAAGCTCAGTAGATTGAAACAAATGGGGAAGAAAGAAAACAACGTTTTGTGAAAAAAAAAGAAGTAGCAATCGGTGATAGATTTTAGATACGTTTATAAACTCCAAGTAATGTTCCACATTCTGGACAACTGTGATAAGCATCTTTGCATGAATTCACATAAAATGGTATTAAACAGCATCCGAATATACCGCTAGAATAACAAATTAGTAGTCACAATAACTAATTAATAATATGTTCGGCTATAAACATACAGAAAACATTATGTTTTATTACATACCTCATCTTCTAATCATATTTTAAAATGGTTCTATAATGCAAAAACAATTATCATGTTTTGTAAACAATGATAGATAGTAGCTAGCAGTGGAATCCAGGACGCGCGTTTCTTCCTATTTGGGACTCGTCGGCTGGATATACTTGCATCTCGGAGTTGATGTTCACTCTAGGACTCGAATCCAGTACCATTCGCTTCAAACACCATCGCCACTTGCTTGTGCAATAGGGTGCACATATGCCATTAACAGACTGATCAATTGCAGTCTTAAAAAAAACTCAATGGAAAGATCCAAGCCAAACAACCCCAAGTGAATTATCATGTTTTATCAAAATATTTTAGATACTTATTTTGTTGAGGAGTCTCATAATAGAACGAAACGGTCATCCTGTGCTTGCAATTAGTTCATGACCTCAACTATTAAAATTACTTATTTTGTTGTTTGTTTCGTTAACTGTTGACATGATAAGTGAATAGCTATTCCATTATCATATTTTGTATCTACACTTAAAAAAAAATCTTATTTCATTCAATAAATCTATAGTTTTTAGTTTAAAAATTAACTAGTATCAATTAATTGGACTGTAGTCAGTGAAACTTAAAATCTAATACCTTATAAGGAATATTTAAAGAAAACTATAATGTTAAGAATGAAAGGAAGTAAAAATAAGAAAAAAAATGGATAAATTCAATAAACAGCTATAGTATACATTTGTAAGAAGAAATAATCCAAGAATCGAATACCTTCCAAAACCAATAATTTACTGAATAATTAATGAGCAAATATAATTAATTTAAAAAAAAGTATTTTGGAAATTAAAGAGGAAGAGTGTATTTGTATTCGATAATGATCGAATATAATTTTGTTATTTGATTATATTTTCCTTGAAAAAGCTTGAACCAGATTACCAGGCGAAATGTTGGATTTACTTCAAATTTTTTTCGCTGAGATTTTACAAATACATATTCTTCCTCTTTAATGACTCATATTAAATCAGCGCCCAAATATTGTGAAATTATTCTTTCAAGTTTAGACGGAAGTTTTTATTAAATATTTTGGAAAGTTCTAATTTATTAATTTAATGAATTGTACATTCAAAAATTGAAAGTTATTCACTTGTACGGATATTTTTTTTATCTTCATAAAATACAATGAAGATTTATATAAGATTTTATTGTTATCATTTTCCTGGTATTTCATGAATTTTAGAAATCATGACTATGAATTGAAATTATATAGAAAATTTTAAATGATAAACTGATACTGTGTACAGTGAGTTTGATCAATCATTTGAACATTACATATAAAAAAAACACATCATAGATTACACATTTATATGCTTTGGAAGAATCATCAGACAGATAAACAAAGCAAAGAGTATTGATCGATTTCTTGGTTATGACAAATTTACCTGGTTAACTAATATCAACTAGTTTGAAAGCTTATTTTCAAACTTTTCGGAGATTGTTTTCAGGCATCCATCAGTCAGTAAACGTTATAATGAGTTTCATGAATTTAAAGTTAGTTGTTTTCTAATAAATTATTTACGAATAAATTGACACGAAACTATGCATAATAAATATTTACTGCTTAGAAGTCTCAAAACCTTAATAAATTTAGGCAATAAATTTCTAGAATGTTTCATTAGATAACAACTTTCCTCATTTATAACTGATCGTTTGTTTGAAATATAACATTTACTCATACGTTAATGATAAATAATTACTTTGTAATGGGACATGAAAAATACGATTTATGTAAAAAAAAATCAGTCAGCTGTAATATTTGTGTTCGACCGAATTCAGTTACGTAATTTGAAGCAACCTTACATATTTATATAGAGGGTATTGAATTATACACTACAATATTTGTAGAAACAAAGAAAATTATTCATTTTGATAAATTTTGACAGTTCACTAAACTTATAAAAACTTACCCAATTAATGTTATTCCAGTACAAGCCATCCAAGTACATACTCCTTTACGGTACTGAACTGTTGTAGTAATCTTATTCATGCAAATATCACATGCTGAAGAGACAGGTTGTGGGCCATAGTATGTATTGGGTACCAGACCGACAGGCTGCTGAACTATAGATGTTTCTATACATATAAATGGAGTAATATGATGTTAGTATCACAGAATATAAATTCAAAGTAAAACTTAAAGAGGAATATATGATGCAAAAGAAAATCATTGAAGCCTCCTAAAAATGTCAGTGAAAAAATAGGGTATAATTTATAAAAGTAAGTAGTTATTGCATAAAGCAAGAATATGGTATGAACAATGATGACAAAACCATATTGAATTTTGTCAATTAAATTAACCGAGAAAAAGTTTGATTAACTTTCATATTTATAGGTTTAAAAGGTTTCAAAATGGATATGAATAATTGTTGTCAATGCAGAACTACACTTCCACAATATTGGTTTAACATTTTTTGTGTACTTTATGTAAATTTTCCCAATAATAAATATAAATAAAGCAAGTTTAACTGAATAAAGTGGATTGGTATATTTGGTGAATTCATAACAGCTGCTTACGACTTAGAAATAATAGTCATAATTATTTATAATCAATGTACATAATTTATTTTATTAATGAAAATTACATGAATAATGACGGCATTTATAACAGAATTGAATAGGAAGGCCTTGATGTAACATGATGAATTCGAAGTTATGTGCTGATTATCTTAAACTATTTTAAAATATCAAAATTATATTAATTAATAAATAAATGACGACTAAAGAGGCTGTTATTTACACTGCAAAATCGTGCATGGACGACAGTTGACAAAGTCGTTCGAAGTGAAGACCGGTGTTAGGCAAGGTTGCTTACTCTCACCTTTTCTCTTTCTCCTGGTGATCGACTGGATCATGAAGACGTCAACATCTGAAGGGAAACACGGGATACAATGGACATCTAGGATGCAGTTGGACGATCTAGACTTCGCAGATGATCTGGCCCTTCTATCCCAAACGCAACAACAAATGCAGGAGAAGACGAACAGTGTAGCAGTAGCCTCAGCGGCAATAGGTCTCAATATACACAAAGGGAAGTGCAAGGTTCTCCGATACAACACAGCATGCACCAATCCAATCACAATTGATGGAGAAGATTTGGAAGATGTAAAAACCTTTACATATTTGGGCAGCATCATTGATGAACAGGGTGGATCTGATGCAGATGTGAAGGCGCGCATCGGCGGAGCGAGAGCAGCATATTTACAGCTTAGGAACATCTGAAACTCAAAGCAACTGTCAACCAACATCAAGGTCAGGATTTTCAATACAAATGTCAATACAGTTCTACTGTCTACTGGGGCAGAAACCTGGAGAACTACGAAAGATGTCATTCAGAAGATACAGGTGTTTATTAACAGTTGTCTACGCAAAATACTTCGGATCCGTTGGCCGGACACTATTAGCAACAACCTAATACGGGAAAGAACAAACCGGATTCCAGCGGAGGAGGAAATTAGGAAGAAGCGCTGAAAGTGGATAGGACACACATTGAGGAAAGCACCCAACTGCATCACAAGACAAGTCCTCACATGGAATCCTCAAGGCCAAAGAAGGAGAGGAAGACCAAAGAACACATTACGCCGGGAAATGGAAATAGACATGAGAAAAATGAACAGGAATTGGATGGAACTAGAAAAGAAGGCCCAGGCCAGAGTGGGTTGGAGAATGCTGGTCTGCGGCCTATGCTGCATTGGGAGTAACAGGCGTAAGTAAGTAAGTAAGTAAAGAGATTGTTATAAATACGATGAACTTTTAATGTCAATGCTTGTTAAATTTGCTTTGAGATGCCAACAAAAACGACCTTTCTTTTCCTATAATGTAAATACCTTGGAGCAAACATGTACACCGGTAAGTCCAATTGAAATTACCATGAAGTGGCAATTTGTTCGATATAAAAAAACTAGTTTAGACGACAGAGCCATCCTATTCAGCATGATTCTCATGAGAAAATAGTTATTACTTAGTTACACATACATGATTTCAATTTAAATAACTGGTGCGGAAAAATATAAGAATCATTAAACAAGATTCAATATTAGTGTTTTGAGATTATTGTGGCCATGTAAGAACAGAAAAGACAGTAATAGTTTAAATTTTATTATGAACTATCCCTAGTAATGTGGTAGAGAACTCAGAAGTAACACTACTGAAAAACATTCACACTGTATATACTACTTTTGGTAAGAGCAAATAGATTATTGCATAAGTGATAAATGATGAACGCATACTTTTTTTACAGTAATATATAAAAATCTACAGGAAAATCTAAGAGAGACATTTTAAAGAATTAATATGTATAGTTCTTATAATCTTCGTCTTCTTATTACACCATCTAAGTGTGCATAGTTTCTGTGTAAATTAAGTACATAATAGGCTTAAACTTGAAACTTCTAAAATTAATTTTTTTTCAAGATTAACCTTCAATAACAAATATTGGAGCCGAAGGTAATATTAAAAGCCATCAAATTCAGTGGGATTCTATTCTAATAGAAATTCCTAACTACTCTATATTTCAATCAGTGTATTAATATCGGTTGAAAGTCAAACACTCACTAAATATTATTTTCTGTCAGCTATTTAGCGAAAATTCTCGTCACAATAGATTTACTATAACTAAATAAAAGATCTGTTTATCATTATCATCACTGTTAACAGAAAATAATAAATAAATACGTACTGATCTGAATCAGACATTTTGAATACATGAGTTAATATGGACCAGATATAAGATTATCATCATAAAGTCTATTAGAAAAATATTGTCTGTTTACAAGTATAAGCTTGTTGTAAGTTATCTGACTTATTTGAAAGACATTGGATAGAAAAACGTGCCTCAAAAACCAAGGTATCTACATGAAAAGCATGTGTTTAAGTGGCTCTAAAAAGTGAAAACAAATACGGATTTTTGCTGAAGTTTCATCAAGCTTAACTTGTCAATATAAAAATGTAATGTGTTATGAAATACACAATGTGATTAAAAAAATCAGTGGTGAACATTTTTTATGGGCTGTCTGTTTTGTAGTAAATGGTTTATGGATGGTCCATATAAAATTGAAAATGATTGACATTTCAGTAAACGATATGTCAGTAGTGTGTAATGAGAGTAACAATTAGACTCATATATCGTGATTGAGAAGGCTGATCAACTGTACTATTACACGTCAGTAATTTTCTCATGAAATACTTGTTAAATCTAAGAAGTTTACTTTTAGCAGTGATTTCGCAAGATTAATCTGTTATTTATTTTTAACTCGTTTTATTTTAGCTTCTACTACTGAAAAGCTATGTGCATATTTTTTAGTTGGTGTTATATACTTTACTTATCAACTCTTTACTAGGTAACAGGGAGTCCTCATCAGCGATTTTAATGTGCATTCAGTATAACATCAAATTTTTCTTAAGAATTAATGACTAGGTAGGCTTTACAAAAACTAATTACTAATTCTGACAACAAGTTACGTTGATGATGAAACTGACATATTCTTGGAACTTTACTGATTTTAAGTGTCATAGGAGATAACTGACAATTTGCCGTTGAAAACTTTGCTTTTATTACTTTGTACTCTTTATGGTCAATTGTAGTAATAACATTATGAATGTTATGTTTTGTATATGGTATAACCAAGTAAATTCAAGTAAAACGCACCATGTAAGTATGATCGAAACTGATGTTAGTCATCATCGTACTACAGCCTTGAATAGATGTCCATGGCCCTAAGTTGTATTATATTAACACAACGCGATGAAATTGACAAGATGTATTTCAATCAAGGCAAAAATTATATGATGGAAAAACCTATTATTTTAAAAATAAAAAAACGGCTAAGAAACACGGCAAATTAGACAATTATTAAAGGACTTTTAGCAGACATAAACCTTCGCCCCATTTTCGTCAAACTAAATTCCAAGTTGATGTAAAGCAGTTAAGATAGTTTTAATTTACAACTGATATTACAGATTTAAAGTGAATTACCACTTGACATAGTTTGTTTAAATATATAACTTCAATATGAGATTAATTTATATTCACTAGATATCATACAATGAATCATAAAAACAATCATTAGTCTATAGACTATCCAAATAGCACAACCAAACCATCCAGCTCAGAGAACAAATCTCCATCAAAATCATCCACTTGAGCTACAAATCTTCACTACCATTTCACAATTTAGTCATTTATCAAGTTTGATAAAAATTAAATTTTCTATAAAACCATGATAATGAAAGGACAAGTGAGATTTAATATTATAAACATCAAGAATGTTCATACAAATAATTTTGTTTAAATTTATCTACAAATTAAAAATTTCTTCTGGAAAACAAAATGTTTTAAGCGTATCAATTTAAATCGTGAATTACAATCAATATTATAAAGCAAGAATGTTACATGCCTTAGTGCTTTCGTCATTCTTCAGGTTGTTTGTAATTTTTGTGATAAATCACTTGTCATTAACTTCCGAATAAAATCCGGAACATTCATTAATTAAGTAATAAATATACATGGCTATCTAATATTAATTAGAAGTAATAGTTTTTTTTTAAATTAAATGAAAAGAACTATGTTAATTTTATTTCCGTAGAACTCAGTATGAGATCAGTCGTGACAAAATGATTATAAGGAATATGATCAAATTATGTCACTTTGTAAAATTAAATTAGATATTTTAGGCTTATATGTGTCATATTTCTTTCATAAATTAATACTGAGTAAATAATTTTTGCAGCATCTGCAACTTTACATTTAAGTAAGTTCTTTCTTCCAATAAAGAATGAAACATTATCACAGTTTATAAGAATGACAAATATCAGTTTACTGATTACTATCATAAGAATTCAGTAGACGGATCAAATCTTGACATAATTTGAAATTTGTTATTTAATCTGCTTACATTTCAGTCTTTTGAATAGTACACTAGTTTACACAAAAATAACAATTCATCTACTGACTAGTCTATTAATAACTTCATAATTTTTAAGGCAATTTTAAAAGTTTACATAGAATATTCAAAAACAAAATGTATTATACCGAATGGTTATTTTTGTTAACTTCTTCATCAGTCTTTATAGTTATG